ACACTAGTTTAAAGTAACTATTAGCCTTTGAAATTATGAAATATCATATCTTTTCAGGTTCCCTTTAGTGCATTAAGGATGATATTAATTATCCTTATTTTCAGTGTCAATTTTAATGCCAGTTTTGTTTTATAGTTTATGGGTAAAACATGATAAAGTGCTTTGGGAAAAGGAACTTTCCCTATTTTTAGAAAATGTGAGATTAGTAAAATTATAATAAAATTCCCCAAATTCAAATATTCCAAGTGATTAAGGCAAAATGAAAAGATCACTCAGGGGGCTTAGTAACAGATTAGAAGAAGAAATCAAGTAAACAGTGATTTTTTTAAAAAGTCAATGGTTATATATTTTAGCAATAGTTTAATAAAAATTTATCAGTACGTTCACGGTGATCGTGCAATTTTCCCACATCCTTGAGGAGAGACAATTCATAAAATGTATGACTTTGGTTTGCTTGTGAAAGAGGATCAGTGTAAGCAAATGTCTGCTTGTTTGTTTTTAACAGTTTAACATAGACAAAGAGGCTGGGGAAAGGCAGATTTACCACCGCTACTGCATGGAGCGAGCTTCTGTTCACTGTGCTCATGTGTTCACCACAGTTTCAGAAATAACAGCAATCGAGGCAGAACACATGCTGAAGAGAAAGCCTGGTAATTATTACCACTGAGTTTGTCACCTCACCTATCTTTCAACTGCAAATGATATTAGAGTATGAAGATTTTTATTTTTTTTCCAAAATAAATATTAGATGAAAAATTGTACTTATTGCTACCATGTAATTCATTACATGCATTTCAATTCTTAATTTCAGTGGGTTTGTGATGAATTCAACGCTAAGCGATTACTGGAATATAGGAAGAGTTGAATCTTATTGAATAAGTGAGTTATGCTTTTAAAGTCCTAAGTACAAACAGAGTTTTCAAGACCGATTATATATAAGATAACTAACTTGGCATTTCTCTTTTAAGAAAATAAAAGTGAAAGAGAATTTAGAAATTTGTGGGAAATTGTCCCAGTCCTACATCATATAATATTACCTCTTTGGTGCTGTTTTGTATAAGCCTGCTTTACCTCTCCCCAGACTTCCTTATAAATTTTTCTAGAAACCATCCCCAAATCCTACCAGATTTTTCAGTGCAAGCATGTTCATAAAACATCATGTGGCCACAGCTGATTGGTGCAGAAGTAGATACCTGATATAAGCTGAGCCAATCAGAATGCTCCCATGGGTGCCAGTCTGATCAGATGAGTCTGTTTGAATGCATCCTTGTCTTGGCATTGTCTCTTTTCCTATTCGGACCCACTGGATACAAAGAAGGTTAGACTACAAACTTTTGAGCATCTGGAGGAGGTATTTTAAGGTGTTAAATCACACAAACTTTTTAAAAAACAAGAATTCAAGTAATGAATAGTGGTAGGATGATCGTTTATGATATGTCTTTTTTCCAAAGATCCTTTTGGATTTTGGATTCTCTGGGATTCTCATTCCCATGTTCCTTGCAGGAATTTGTATCATTGATATGTTCATTTCTCTCTTGGATCTGTTTTCTCTATCTACAGTATCCTCTTCTGAATTTAACAAACATGTTTTGTTTTTTTCCTATTCTAAAATGAGAAATTCTCACCAGGCAGCTACTCTGTCAAATATCTATGTAATCTCCTGACACCAAGTATGTTGGAATAACAAAACTACAGTTACCGTTTTCACTTATTAGCCCCTTGAACTCTGGCTTCTAAACCCTGGAAGTTTAAAATTGATTTTCTAAAAGAATCACCAAATTCAGGATCCTCTGATTTTTTTTATGCTCTTTGACATTAAAAGTGATGAACACCTCTATCTTCCCCTCACTTTTCATGACACTGCATATTCTAAATTTTCTCCAATATGATTATTTTCTGGTGTCCCTAATAACTTTTCTACTTTCTTCTGCCTTTTAAAAGTAGGTCTTCCCCAAGATGATTCCGCATCTTGCTTTCTTTATTGGTTATTTTCTAAAAGTTTTATTTTCTCAGGGATACAACTGCAGAGTAATGGTGAAAAGCATGGACTTGATATCAAACTGCCTGAATTCAGTATCGAAAATGATTTCGGGCTGAGTAAATGTCACTAACTATGTGACACTGTAAAAGTTATTTAGGCTCCCTGTGCCTTACCAGCATAATATAGATAGCAATTCTACCTGTAGTGTAGAATGGTTGCAGTGATTTAAAGAGTTAATATATGGAAAGAACTCAATATCTGGTTCACATAAATGTTGAGAAAAAGTTAGCAATC